AAAACTATGCAATTGTAATGAACTTGCAAAGTTTGCATTTCTTTCTAGGCTGTGTTGTAAGCCCCAGAACCTTCTACAGCGGAAAGTAGCTCCAAGCGAAAATAAAGTCTGGAGATCCGTTATGCTTCCAATTTGTACATTCTTTTTTACAAGCCTGTTAGTTCTATACGTATTTTTGACAATTTTAAGACTTTTTATTCATTATTATGTGTAACATCTCCAATTATGGCAATTGGTGGAGAGGGATGGTAAATTATGATTATGTAGAGGGCATGATTATTAACTGCATTCACATTAATTTATATTTGAATCATGGTCATTAAAAGTTTTTTAATAATTTCGATGACTGTGCCGTTTCTGGCAAATAATTAATCTTCCTGCCTGTTGCTAGGCAAAAAGAACAAAATTCGCTTTATCATTTATAAATTGCGCATAAAAGAAAACTTATTTTAAACTTTAGGAATTTAAACGACTTCGAAAGCAATTACGGTGGAAAACGTGATAACTGCGGTGCAGAATTTTTTTATAAATTGCGCAATCTGTTGCGATTCCAAATAAGAAAAAATCTTATAGTGACCCTGTTAATTTTTGGGTAATGACTATCGGGTATTGTGGGTTCGGCCCTAATTACTACTCGCGCCAATATTGAGTCACGTTCTCGCGTTAAACAAAAACAATTTCAATAATGGGTTTCTGTTATAATTTCCGGGGCTTTGCAGGTGTAATTAAAGGCTCGCGGGTGTTAAGCGTTTAGTGCAGGCCATAAGGCTCGAGTTGATTACAAATACCCCGAATATTAGTCCTTAGTCACTCTCGGAGTGTTGGCGATGCTGTAGACTCTCGTACAAAGGACACTGTCTGTCATTGGCTGTATGTTAATGACAACTCGGTATTGTTAGCCTCCTATCTTGATGGATTGATGGATGGTGCCTATCTGGTCTCTCGGGCATCGATATGTAGGCGACTCACGGTCATCCACCCCATGACAACACCTTTATGCTATGAGACAAAAACTGACTATACAATTAAAAATATTCCTTTTCAGTCAAAAACGCAACTGTTGAAATTATAAACAAGATTAAAAAATAAAACGGGAAAACACTTGACAACGCTTGTCACTGGCCTAGCTACATAGGATTCAGGTTATAAAACTAGTCAACGGTCAGAATTAAACAATGTAAAACATTTTGCCTTGTAATAGCTCATAGAAGTAACCTGAAAGTTTAAAAAACATTAAAGGACAAAAAGTGATCACCCCTAGATTACGAACGTCAAGAATTTTAATAGCTTTCCCATCGATTTGGATAAAGGTCTGGGACTTGATAAAAAAACGGAGAAACTGATTTCATAGTTAAAAAAGACTTCGAACCACAACTTTCTGTGTGCTAAGTCTTAGAAGTCACCTGAAGGTTGACAAACATCACATAAAAGAATGCAAAAAAATAATCTGGGGAAGCACTCTTAGATTAAGATAGAGAAGAGTTTTTATAGCATTTTCTTCGAACTTGGTAAAGGTCTGGGACATAATGTCAAGAAAACGAAGGAACTGACCTCGTAGTTAAAGAGCCTCGAACCAAAACTTTCTGTGTAGCTCATAGAACTAACCAGAAGGTTGAAAAAAAATCACTTGAAAATTTTTTAGCTTTTCTATTGATCCTTACAAAGAGTTGGCAGAAGGCGTAAGGTTAATAAATCGGCGAAATTGACCTCGTAGTTAAAGAGACTCGAACCAAAACTTTCTGTGCAGCTCATAAAACTAACCTGAAGATTGAAAAAAAAATCACTTGAAAAAAGTTTTAGATTTTCTATTAATCTTTACAAAGAGTTGGCATAAGGCGTAAGGTTAATAAATCGACGAAATTGACTTCTTTAGTTAAAGAGACTCGAACCAAAACTTTTTATCCAGAACAGAAGGATAACCAGAAGGTTAAAAAAATAATTTGAAAACAATTTATAGCATTTCTCTTGAACTTTACAAAGGTTGGGCATAAGATTAATAACTCGACGAAACTGACCTCTTAGTTAAAAAGATTTCGAACCACAACTTTCTGTGCTCCTCATAGAAGTAACCTGAAGATTGGACAAAAATCACTTGAAGGGATACAAAGAGATAATCCGGAGAAACAATCCAAAATTAAAGACAGGCAAGATTTTGTATAGCTCTTCCGTTAATCTTGATAAAGTACTGGGACATAATGTCAAGAAAACGAAGGAACTAACCTCGTAGTTTAAAGACAATCGAACCAAAACTTTCTGTGTTGCTTATAGAACTAACCTGAAGGTTGAAAAAAAATCACTTGAAAAAATGTTTAGCTTTTCTATTGATCCTTACAAAGGGTGGGCATAAGGCGTAAGCTTAATAAATCGACGTAATTGACCTCGTAGTTAAAGAGACTCGAACCAAAACTTTCTGTGTAGCTCATAGAATTAACCTGAAGATTGACAAAAATCACATGAAGGGATACAAAGAGATAATCCGGGGAAACAATCCAAGAGTAATGACAGTCAAGATTTTTTACAGCTCTTCCATTAATCTTGATAAAGCACTGGGACATAATGTCAAGAAAACGAAGAAACTGACCTCGTAGTTTAAAGACAATCGAACCAAAACCTTCTGTGTAGCTCATACAACTAACCTGAAGGTTGAAAAAAACATTTATAGCTTTTCTATTGATCTTTACAAAAGGTGGGCATAACGCATAAGGTTAATAAATCGACGAAATTGACGTCGTAGTTAAAGAGACTCGAACCAAAAACTTACTATCCAGAACAGACGGATAACCTGAAGGTTGAAAAAAAATACTTGAAAAAAATTTATAGCTTTTCTATTGACCTTTACAAAGGTTGGGCATAAGGCTAATAAATCAACGAAACTGACCTCATACCTAAAAATATTTCGAACCACAACCTTCTATGTAGCACAGAGAAGTTACCTGAATGTTGAAAAAAAATCACTTCAAGGGACATAAAGAGCTAATCCGGGGAAGCAACCCTAGATTAAGACAGGCAAGATTTTTTTATAGCTTTTTCATTGATCTTGGTAAAGGTCTGGGGTATAATGTCAAAAAAATCTACAAACTGACCTCGTAGTTAAATAGACATCGAACCACAACTTTCTGTGTAGCTCATAGAAATAACCTAAAGGTTGAAAAAAAATACTTGAAGGAATACAAAGAGTTAATCCGGGGAAGCACCGCTTGATCACACGCAAGCTTTTCTATAGCTTTTCTATTAATCTTGATAAAGTTCTGAGAAATAATATCAAGAAAACGAAAACTGACGTCGTTAAAAGACATAGAACCACAACTTTTTGTGCACCTCATAGAAGTAACCTGAAGATTGACAAAAATCACTTGAAAAAAATTTATAGCTTTTCTATTGATCTTTACAAAAGGTGGGCATAAGGCATAAGGTTAGGGGGCGTTGGTAGCCGCAACGGTTTAGGCGTTGACACGGCGCTCATCACTGTAAGGTAAAGGTCCCGGGTTCGGATCCAGTGGCCCTGCATTCGAACCCGACATGCTTACAAATGAGCTTTTTTTCAAAAACACCGGCACCCCGAGGGTTGATATAACCTCTGCTGTTGCGAACCCTCGTTTAAAAAGAGAAAAAAAGGCATAATGTTAATAAATCGATGAAATTGGCCTCGTGGTTAAAGAGACTAGAGCCAAAACTTTCTATCCAGCACAGAGGGATAACCTGAAGTTTAAAAAAATCTCTTGAAAACAATTTATAGCTTTTCTATTGACCGTTACAAAGGTTGGGCATAAGGTTAATAAATCGACGAAACTGACCTCATACCTAAAAATATTTCGAACCACAACTTTCTGTGTAACACCGAGAAACTGAAGGTTGAAAAAAATCACCTGAAGGGATACAAAGAGCTAATCCGGGGAAGCAACTTTAGAATAAGACAAGCAAAAATTTTTAATAGCTTTTTCTACTCTATATAAAGGTTGGGTCATAAGGCATAATGTGAATAAATAAACGGACGAAAATTACCTCGTTGTTAAAAGATTTCGAACCCAAACATTCTATGTACCCCATAGAAGGAACCTAAAGTTTGAAAATCACACAAAAAGATAATCCGGGGAAGCAACCCTAGATTAAGACAGGCAAGATTTTTTTTATAGCTTTTTCATTTATCTTGGGAAAGGTCTGGGATATAATGTAAAAAACTGATCTCGTAGTTAAATAGACATCGAACCACAACTTTCTGTGTAGCTCATATAAGTAACCTAAAGGTTGAAAAAAAACTTGAAGGAATACAAAGAGTTAATCCGGTAAAGCACCTCTAGATTACACACAAGATTTTTTTATAGCTTTTCTATTAATCTTGATAAAGTCCTGGGACATAATATCAAGAAAAACGAAGAAACTGACCTCGTCGTTAAAAGACATCGAACCACAACTTTCTGCGCACCTCAAAAAGAAATCTGAAGGTTGAAACAAAACACCCAAAGAGATAATCCGGGGAAGCAATCCTAGATTAAGATAGGCAAGATTTTTTATACCTTTTCTATTAATCTTCATTAGTCCTTTCAAGAAATGTCTTCGTTTTCTTGTGTGTGTGATTTTTTATGTGACCTCGTAGTTAAAAAGCTTGTAGCACAGAGAAGTAACCGAAGTTTGAAAAAAAATCATGTCAATGTATGGGAAGAGATAATCCAAGGGAAGAACTCTTGAATTAAGAGACAAGAAAAATTTAGTAGCTTTTCCAATGGACTCTTCTCCCTAAGAAATTTGTAATTAAAAGTTCTTACCGGAAATTGTTCACTCAAAGCAACAAAAGGCATGACCATTCAGCGAAAGGACAATGGAAATAGAAGTCCGTCTGTATTCGTTTAAACTTAATAGTTTTTCTGGTTAAAGCTCAAAAGAAAAGCGTTACTTATTCAGTCGGATATGCTAAAGAGCTATTAGTGCTTGGAGAAATATAAAATTATCTAAAATAGATACTATACGAAAGAATTTTAATGAAACATTGTTCTAATTTTTAGGTGGTCCAGGTGACGGCGGTGGATTTGGACACGGGCAACAACGCCCGACTGACTTACAAACTCCTTTCTGGGGAGGACGTTTTCGGCATTTTCCCCAATTCGGGATGGATCTACCTCCGAGGACAGCTGGACAGGGAGGCGAAGGACCGCTACGGGTTGAGAGTGGCTGCGGAAGACAACGGCAGCCCCGCTTCCACGGCGACCGCCCTCGTCACCGTCCTTGTGACCGACGCTAACGACAACGATCCATCTTTCACGAACGACATCTACGAGTTCGTCGTCGAAGAAAACCAACCCAGGGGTGCCTATCTGGGAAGGGTGGCCGCCACCGACATGGACCTTGATCTCAACGCCGCCATCGCCTACACCCTCATCCCAACCAACTCCAGCTTTCAAATCAATCCTGTCACAGGTAAATTTTTCGTATAATCACTTGCGATTTAAAACATTTATACCATCTTCTCGCTCCAATTGAGAGATGGGGTTGTACTTACCTCCTAATGACCGTGTACTCAAAGTTCTAACCTATGTAAGATTGGTATGTTTTTAATCCTCCACAAACCCTATCGTTAACAGAGAACCAAAAACTTGCTGATTGTGCTTAAGAACAATTATAAGACTAAATGTAGATACAAAAAATTCGGAGTGGCATACTGCCATTTGCGAGATATGTATCCTTCCCTGTTGTACCTACCCAGTGTGGCGACGAACGCCAGCAAAGGGTTAATTCCCGGTCCGATAATGATGACCTGCATCTGCTCACCTTGTTCGGTCTTGAAGCGGACAACGTCCTCAATAACGGGTTGCTTCATAGGATGGAGAAAAGCGGTTAGCTATCTGTAGCTGCCGGTATACCCCTGCTTCCGGACTCCCGTAGCAATACGCAGGCAGTTATCCAGTTAGGTCTCGCCGCGTTCACCCGTTCCAGTATGTAAGCCTTGAAGGGGTCTAACTTACAGGGTCTAGGTACACGCAGTTTATAACGCGTATTTGCCACCGGTTCGGTTTCGAAGATATCGTCTCAAGGTTACACGGGAGCATCAAGGAATTTGATTGTGGTCGTATTTATTCTATATCCCAAAGTATTTCCACCTGCGGATAAGGGTAACACCATAGTGTTTTAGTAGGTAGGTTTGGGTAATAGATATTCCTCAAATACCCATTCGGTCCACAATGCCCAAAATGTGAATTCCATCATTACCTGATTTCTCTATCTTCTTTACTACGTGGATCTCTACACCACAAAAAGGTTCAGGACCTTTTCCTTACAAGAGCATCCTTCCTTCCCCATTTTCTGGATCTCCTGACCTAATATAACCTTGCCAAGCAATCCATGCTGCTGCGATACATCTAACAGCTTGGTTTATATCTCAAAACCATTCTTGAGCTAATGGTGTTTGAGTTTAATGCTCTGATGGCTGCCTGACTATGAGAGGTATGTCCTGGTTTTCGTATCCTCTGTTGAAATTGAATTGAGCAGATCTCTCAGTTGCTTGAAGATATTGGGGTATACTTGCCCTTGTACCTTCGTGCCTCCTAGATCCAGTATACCAGCAAATAGTGTCTTTCTAGACTGTTTTATCCTTTTTCCAACTTTTTTTGGCTGGAAGACTTATTTAAATGTAAATATCCTGTTCACTTCTAATTGCTTTTATCTTTTTAGTGATTCTTTTTTGTTCTTAAGTTGATTATGTTTGTTTATGTTATTTTTTGGAGGGGGATTAGTCCTAATATTTCCTCCATACCTGAGGGACATGTCATCAATTCAGTGGTACAAATGGATACTAGCAGGATTCTCAGACTGGGTGGTCTTTATACTGATCCGTGGCAACATTTCTTTCTAATGTATACAAGTCAATAAGTACATAAGTCAATTTACCTTTACTGTTAATGGGTTGAACATTTGCCCCCGATAATAGAAAGCAATAAATATATTTCATCTTTATCTCATAAAATAAAATTTAATACGAATTCGCATGCAGAGCGCAATTATATATATCAAAGATATTTCCGATGATGTATGGATCGGAGGAAAAGTCGCTACATAGATCATAGTCCGTAAGAAATTGACCTAATTAAAAAGAGAAAATAAAGCAACAAATTCAAATAATCTCCGTCCGGGAATAAGGGTCGATAAATTAGCAATGTAAATTAAACTGTAAATTAACAACGGCTAATAGACGGGATGCGTAAATTGCATAGAAATTGAAGAAGAAAAATGACTGATGGTAATAACCATGCCAAGTGGCAAGTGAAATATCTAAATCTAAAGCAACAAAAGCTACGATGAAAAATATTTCATTTTTTTAAATGATTATAAAAGATAAAATATATTAAAAAGTAAAGAATAATATTAATAAGTGGACAAATTCAATATTTAAATTCAACCACTTTCTCCCACTGGGTTCTGAGTACACGCTAACGGTAGCCAGTCCTCCTCATTAATCAGATTTATAAACATCGGATATTTTTCAAAAAAAAAAAACATTTTGTGAGAATTTACATTTTTGAGCTGTTGAAAGAAAGTAAAATTGACGAATCGTTATAAAAATAGATTTGTTAAACGTTTTCTGAAACGGTTAGTGTAGAAAGTTGGAAGTTGTCACTGGAACTAATTAAAAACCGCTTCGAGTATGCGGAGTTTACAAAACCGTTAAACGTAATTTGTCATTGATAGGATTAGATGATAATCTGGAGAATTCCAGCTGAATATGGCCGGTGAGGTAGCACGTCCCAGGGGAAGCGAAGCAATTTTTGCAGTGTCACAAGCGAAATGGGAAAATGTGAAACTTAACTTTCTCATGGAAAGTAGAGACGATTTCGTTGATGTTTTGTGTAATGAAGATTGTTTTTCGCACTTTGGTATCATAAAGCAGTTAGTACCTCTTAGAAACTGCGGATTTTTCTATTTTTTATTATTATTTTACCACATCTATGACATCTGACGGGTGTTTTACAACCATTACAATTATTATTATAAACTCATTGTTGTTTTATAACTTATAAAACGTTATTTTTATCTCAACTAAAAATCTTAATTAATTGAAAGATATTAATTGGTCAAGCGGTGGTGATGAAGTGGATTTAATGTTAAATGAAGTATATCTTGACTAAAGCTCTCCGTGGCCATTTCATTTGTCGCCGAGAATCGAATAGATTACACGACATTTGAAAAATGGCAAAAAGGAGGGAAAATTCAAAAGGGAGGGTTGAGATGGGAAGTTAGTGTCCGAGTGGATCGAAGTCACGATAGCTCAAGTGGTAGGGCAGCATCGTATTGAGCCGAAGGTCGTGGGTTCGAATCCCGCTCGTGACACTGACTTTTTTTATCTCAACTAAAAACCTTAATTAATTGAAATATACTGATTGGTCAAGCGGACCACGAAAACATTGCGTACAATGAACGATATTGTATTATTGGTTTTGCGTTTATTGACATTTATTGACTTGATTTTGTTGTCGAAGAAGTTGTGTTCCAATTTTTGGCCCTATGTGAATCCATCGGTCATCCTTGATGGTCTCGAACCTTTTTTAGAAAAACTTTGTTTCTCTGTGTTCAGTCCTTTTTAGTGTGATTTTATTTGTCCTGCCACATTTTAATCCATTCAATCAGTTTCTCTTATGTTTTTATTGGATATTCCAACCATATATTTTAGACCAATGTTCCGAATGTTTTCGGCCATGTCAACACTGTCTCTACTAGCACAAAACCGTCTGATTGGCCAGCTTTCAATCCAACTGAGGCTGATGCCTTGCTCTGCATGATTGTAAGAATGGTGCGATAAAAAGTTAAAGCACCTAGGAATGTACCAGGTCATTTTGGTCCTCACACTAATAACACTATCATTCTGTGCTTATCTTATTCAAACATTCGATGTGACATTTAAATTTAAACAGGTTATATATTAAGAAAATTAAGCCTAAGATTAATTCATCTCAAGACCAAAACAGCTTGGACTGGCAGACCAAAATGTTTGGAAACAACCTAGCACAAACTTTCCATTCTGATAGCATAAAACCACCATAGGCGAAAAGCGAACTTAAAGCTAAATTGACGGTAATTTATACTGCTTGTAAAATATCATTATCTTGATTTATTTTTGCTGTCTGGTGATGGTCTTTCTGGGTTTTCTGTTAAAGAAAAAAATGTCAAAGATAAGCAGCATACAGGGTGGTGCACCATAGGAGAAACAATTTATGAAAATAAGCATCAGAAGTAAACTGTCCACCAATCAATGATAGTAAAGACCGTAAACATGAAGAATATTTCCTCCTGAGATCTGCAAGGTGATGAACTTACAATTTGATCCTTACAGATAATCATATTTTGGTCATTACTGACCATTTTTGTTCTATGGGATTTGACTTCTCCTGACTTCGGACAGACAACCTTGGCTTCTCGTCATCTTCAGTGTAGATTCTGCCGGGCTACGTAGTAAAAAACAACGTACATAATTGAAGAAAACTATATTTTACAATTGTAGTAAAAATGAAACTCCTTTAAACACTTTTTGGTCTACGCGATTTGACTTCACCAAACTTCGGACAGATAACTTAGGCTTCTCATCATCATCAATGTTGAATTTGCCGGGCTACGTAGAAAAAAATAACGTACATAATGGAGGAAAACGGTATTTTACAAGTTTAGCAAAAATGAAACTCCATTAATCACTTTTTCGGTCGTTTCTGACCATTTTTGGTATACACCATTTGACTACTCCTGACTTCGGACAGACGGCTTCTCGCATCTTCAAGCTGGTTCTACTGGGGTGCTTAATGAGAAACGACGCATATAATTGAAGAAAACGGTATTTTACAAGTTTAGTAAAAGTGATACCCCATTAATTACTTTTTTCGTCTGTAATTTGGTGGTTTCTGATCGCATTTTGTCTACGCGATCTGACTACTACTGATCTCGGACATATTAAACATTTTCGGCATCTCGTCGTCTTCAATGATGATTCTGCAGGGGTGCTTGGTCAGAAACTACGTACATAATTCAGGAAAACGATATTTTACTAGTCTAATAAAAAAATGAAAATGAACTGTAATTTGGTTCTTCCGATCAGTTTTGACCTGCCAGAGGCGATTCGACTTCTGACTTCGGACCAAAACACTAGCTTCTCCTTTTCGTCATCTTCAGTGCTGGTTCTGCATGGGTCGTGGAAAAAGAACATAATTGAAGATAACAATGTTTTACAAGTTTGTTTAAAATGGCATTGCTTTGTTCTCTAATATGGTTCTATTATTTTCCCAGCAGTTTTGCACTGCCACTTCTGACTTTGCGAGCTGTTTCTGCAAGAATCAATTTTTCAGTCTGTAATTTGGTCGTTTCCGATCATTTCGGTCTGTTCAAAATCAAAAACTCGAGTTTTATTTTTACTACACTTCTAAAATATCGTTTATCTTAAA